TTTCTCTATGTCTATTTGTCTATCTGTCCATCTATATCTATCAATCTATTTATCTATTTGTCTATCTATCTGTGTCTATTTGTCTATCTGTCCATCTATCTCTCTATATCTATCTCTATCTATCTCTATCTAGATCTATATATATATATATATCTATTTATCTATCCATCCACCATCTCTATCTGTCTGTCTGTATCTAGTTGTCTAACTATCTATCTATCTCTGTCTATCTATTGGTGTGTCTAGTTGTCTATCTATTTATATCTCTGTCTGTCTGTCTGTCTGTGTCTAGTTGTCTATCTATTTATCTGTCTATCTATCTATCTATCTATCTATCTATCTATCTATCTATCTATCTATGAAAATCACTTCTATCCTATTGCTGCTGTTTCTCTGGAGACTTTTGACCAATATGTGAAGTAATCTCTGTTTCAAGGCAATAGTGGGTTGGCACCATAGAGCATTCCTTTGACAGTGTTCTGTTGTGTTAACAAGGTAATTTTAACTGCCGTTACAAAATAACCCAAAAGGTCAGCTCCAACAATGGAGATGAATGCCTTGCACACATAGGCCTACTGCATGTGTTCCTGGTGAGGACTTGGTTTCCACACACTGTGAGGTGCTCAGGCCTCTCCCATCATGGGATTTTGCCTTCTCCTAAAGCCTTGGTATCCTTCCATACAGCTGTTGGATGAGGAAAGAGGGTGGAGCCTAACGGAAGAGCCTAACCTCTTCCGTTAGGCTCCCTGGCACAGAAGTGATATTCTTCAATTCTCTTCAAGTTCTATTGATGTAACAGATTATGAGTCCTCACATGTTTTCAAGAGTTTGGAAAATAATCTCCCTTGCCAGGTTGCCAGTCTTCAAAGGGAGGTCTATACTGTGGAAGAAAAAGGAAAAATTTATGTGCATTTACCCTGTTTAATACACTCATCATATATAGCATTTTTCCAACAGCAACAATAATACTCTTGATTTAGTATATAACAATATGTCATATACTTAATATACAAAATATTTTCCTTGCTAACCTATATGATTTCAAATGCCTGGAACAATAAATAATTCATGTCATTATTTGAGAGTATGTAAATTTTAATATGTTAAGATATACTGGCAAAGTTCTAAAAGTCGTGATTTTATTGGAGGCCAAATAATGTACATATTTGTTTGTCTGAAGACTTGAGCCAAAAGGAAACTAATACACTTTTGAACTACAATATGAACATAATGTCATGAAGCAGGAACATTACGCTCCATTTCAGGACACTTCTGCTGACCTGCACCTAGAATGCCCTCTTCTGTGCCGATGCCTCAGATGTAAGAATGATGAAGTGCATGGGTTGAAATGCAGAGAACAATGAGAAAAAGAACTGAGTTGTGGGAAGACGTGAGGAAAGGATGTGAGGCTCTTAATAACAGCTGCCAAGTACTGCAGTCGGGAATCCGGAGCAAAGCGATTCATTCTGACCACTGCCTATAAGTAAACGGGATTTTATTTTTCAATACTTTTGTTTAATAGTACCTCCTTCATTACATGTGAACAGCATTCCAGGATAGTAAATCATGAAATGGGAATAAAGTCTGTAATTTTAATTAACATATTTTAAAATGTTTCTAATTTGTATGCATTTGATCTAATTTTCATTTGCATTGAGCGATTTTTTTCTTTCTCATATAATGTTTGACATTACCATTTCTTTCTTTAATGAAATACTAATATTTAATAAAATATTTTACAGTTTTAATATGACTTGTCAGGAATTTTTCTTCCTCAAACATTTGTGTGATGAAAACGAAATCTCACTATGTGTGGAATCTCAGCTGACAAGTAAAAAGAAGCATTTTTGTATTAGCGATATCTTGTTCCCTCTTACAATGTTTCCTTCCTCTCACCTCCATGTGGCCAAAATAAATGATCAGAGTGGCTCATCCTCACTACTGTCTCCCTTGCAGTGCAGCACCTGTAATCATGCTTTAGGCAAGCAGGTACTCATCTGGGGACAGGCTGCAGTAATGGAGCATGCAATGCAAAAACTGGCATTAAAACTACATCAGGCATGGTGGCTCACACCTGTAATCCCAGCACTTTAGGAGGCAGAGGGGTAGACCACCTGAGGTCACGAGTTCAAGACCAGGCTGGCCAACATGGTGAAACCCTATCTCTACTAAAAATACAAAATTAGCAGGGTGTGGTGGCAGGCGCCTGTAATCCCAGCTACACAGGAGGCTAAGGCAGGAGAATCACTTGAACCTGGGAGGCAGAGTTTGCAGTGAACCGATATCACACCACTGCACTCCAGCCTGGGCAACAAGAGCAAAACTCTATCAAAAGAAAAAAACAAAACCAAAAACAAACAAAAACTACATCACCTGCAGACATGCTTTCTAAATATTCTTTTTTCTGTTTTTGTTTTTTTGGTCAGATATAAAACATATGTATCTGCTCATTTCATTGCAAATAGAGGTTCTAATTGGTCTCAACTCTGTGCTCAGTGCCCAAAAAGGCATTCTGCACTCCTCTGTGCACAGGCATCAACTCCTCATTCAGTCAGCCAGCCAGGCATATTAACAGATAGCTCACCAAACAACGTGCAACACACTGTCCCCACCAGGAGATCTCTATGAGCAAGGATTATGTTGAATTTTCTTAGTATTCCTTGCACTTAATGGGTGCTCAATTAATGCCTTTTTGCCATAGTGGTAGTTAATAAATGCACCTAAAGTTTCAGTATAGAAAAACTACTATTCTTAGGCTTTTAATCATAAGCTTCCTCAACAAACCTTCCCTCCCATCAGTGAGTGCTTCCCTCTGATCTACACCTCTCAGAGTCTTGAAAGGAAAAAGAGACTGACCAATTGCCCCCACCCAAAAGACATTTCATCCCACTTAACATTTCTGCAGAGTTTGCCAAATGCAACTATTTGTTTTCCCAAAGCAGGGTGCGGGAGGGGACGTAAAGAGAGATTAGAAAGAAGAAAAATATTCCTACCATGTTGGGGGACTGGATTTATGTGAAACCCAAAGTGAATCAGCCATTACAGAGTCTGGCCCATAGTAATTTTTCCAAAGGTGTTACCACTATTAGCATTTTGTGATCATTAAAGATGCCAAAAACAAGTATGCCTCCTTGCTTTTAGCCATGTGGATACTAGCGCTTGAGTTGCACTTTTGCTTACATTTTACGTGTTAAAAAGATGCTTCTCTTTAAAGGAACAATCGAAATGTCACTTCCTTTGGTTACTTCCTTGATCCCCTTTATGGGGAAAATCATTGATTTCTTCCTTAACTCTGTTGTTTCCAATGGAAATAATAATGCTAAACCTTCAGCAATGAGAAGTGAGGTATAAAGTCATGGTGATTTACAATATCTGTCTTCTCTCTAGATGAGCATTAACTGCAGGAGGGAGAAAGTCCAGCAGGGAGGCAGGCTTGGTCTCCCAGTTGCTGAAACACAAAATGTTGAGGTCAGATTACAGTTTTTATTTTTAAAAAGTCAGAATTTTGCTTTGTTTTTACATTACATGATGCCATATGTTCAATGCATAAGAAAAATACAAAATTTTAATTTTCAATTTTTTAATGTTTTTAGATTAATTTTAAATCTCATTGCAATTGTATGTGTATGTATATGTATATATATTTGGTATGTACATATGAAATACACATTATACATTTGTATTTATTACACATATGCAATTTATATTTACATATACTATGTATGAGATATATATATACATTCGAGTACTATATATTGTACATATCTTGTACATGTATATTATATGTATATGCTCATGCATATTTGTATGTGCACCAACAGCATATTGTCTACATTTCTGCATAAGCTTTTAAAAACAATTATTATGGGCCAGGTGCAGTGGCTCACACCTGTAATCCCAGCACTTTGGGAGGCCGAGGTGGGCAGATCACATGATCAGGAGATCGAGATCATCCCGGCCAACTTGGTGAAATCCCGTCTCTTCTAAAAATACAAAAATTAGCTGGGCATGGTGGTGGGTGCCTGTAATCTCAGCTACTCAGGAGGCTGAGGCAGGAGAAACTCGTTTTCAATGTGGATGTTGGGCAAGTCTCCTTCTGGTTTTTAGTGGCTGGGTTGGTGGTGGGCACACTGGGTGGGGAGGACCACAGGCAGGTCTACCAGCCACCCAGGGCTACTCATCTCCCTGTGGTTTCCCAGTGGAAGTCAGTGTATTTGTCAATTAATCTTCTACTATCCATTGATATATCTTTGTTGAGTCCTGTTCTCTACGCTAAAAAATTAGCAGTGAATAAGACAAAAAATCTCTTTGTTCAGATAGTTTATTTGAGAATTAAGTCAAGTGAGTACTGTGAATAAAAGTAAATACAAACAATCAAGATAATTTTAGATACAAGCAAAGGTCATGAAGGAAATGGTTTCAGGGGCCATTATCACTCTATGGTGATAAGGTGAGAACTAAAAGGCATTGAGAAAGAGTGTTTTAAATAACATATTTTAAAATAATTTTTTAAAGGCTAATTCTACCTGCTAAGTTACAGCTTACAGTGAAAATTTGATGCAGATAGCAGAAGAGAACTCAAAGAATATCACCAATACAGAAAGCAAATAGTGTTGACCCTTGTGGGCTGTTGTCAGGACGTCTGGTTAAGTGAAGCCTGTGTCCTCTGGACTGTGGACCACGGAAGACAGGAGGACTTGTGAGCTGCAAATAAAACCCTTATCCCCCTAAATGGGCTCCCTCTTGACCAAAGGGATCCCGTAGAAACCTTAAAAACTGAGTTCCCAGCCATGATGGGAAGGGAGGTTGGATACAGCTCATTATAACCCCTCCCTTAAGGAGCTTAGACAAAATTGCCCAGAATTAATGTTAAAATAGATATTATAAGACTAATAGAATGGATTTCATGGACAATAAGATACCAGATTAAAACCAAGATGTAAGGTGATGCCAGACCAGGGTAAATCCTGCCTGCAGGCCATCAATCTGGCTAAACAGGGCATTTTGACCCAGCATCTTGTGGCTGACTCTGACATAGCATCCTAATCTTAGATATTCCTTTCTGCTGACAGCAATTTTTAGAGAGAGCCGTACTCCTTTAACCAGCTGAAAATTAAAGAATTTCTGAATCCACTTATAACCTGTAAGCCCCCACTTTTTTAGGGCAAGCCAATGTATACATTCCACATACTGACTTACATCCTTGCCTGTCACTCCTGCTTCCCTGAAATGTGTAAAACCAAACTGTAATCTGACCACCATATTTTAAATATGTGTATTTAAAAGAGGTTTAAAATAAACTTTTCTAAAATATTTTAGAGTATAGCTTTCCTGTTAACAGACCTCACCAAGAAGGAAAACTAAGGAGATAAACATTGTGATGATGATACAATCAGTTCAAGTTCCTACAGACAGCACTGTGTATGTTAAAGCTGACAAAATTCTATCAGACCCACCATGGCTTAGTGCAGGCAATAAACTCTTCATTTTGAATTTAAACTTGTGCCTAGAAAAATATATGTATTCGGTTGATCATATGAAGTTTCCATTACTGTAGGTCAAAATCAGTCCAACACTGGTCACTTCATGTGACTCAACCTCATTTATTTGCTCTACCTCATGTAAATGGCTCCACTGCCTACTCAGAAAGGTATCCCCTAGCAAAGGCCAAGTCCTTTGGCTTCATAAGTAAGCCCCATATTTCCTAGTTACTCCCTCTTTTTAAAGACATACCTAAGTAGGGCTGGAAGAATGCAAAATTTAGAGCTGGAGACGGAAACATAGTTTAAATTACCCTTCTTTGGAAAGAAGAAAATCTGCGTGGAGTTGGCGAGGGAAGATTAGGAAATGAAAGAGATGGGTCTAGAAGGCTTTGACGGCTTTTCCCTGAATCCAGAGGCAGAACGATGACAGAACTGGCAGCTAAGAAGCTGAAAGGAGCAACTGTGGAGAAGAAAGACTCCTAAAGGAGATGTGAGAAGAGAGGTTCTGTGGTAGCTGTGAGGTTAACCCCCTTCCTTCCTCCCTTTGAGATCTGTACTCAGTTCTGCGTGATCAGGGATGCTCTTGTGCAGGCTGAGCCTGGTTAGGAGAAACGGAAAGAGAAGGTGGCATGGCCTTGTGCGATACACACATAGAAAGAGGGATTCACTTGCGTGGACAGAGTATCTGTCTCTTCCTGCCCCTACCAATGAAATATGGGAGTGGTAGTTTTGAGAGTGCCTAATTATTTGCCTCCTGGGACATTCGCATATCAGAGTCAGTACAGCTTTAAGGAAAAAGATGCAAGCCCCTTTACTTAACATTATAAACCGGATGTCTAAACATGCATTAATTAATAAAAAGGGGAATTGACTAAGCTTGTTTTTCATATATCTAGAAAAATAGATAATTAACATTTGGAATGAACTAGGATTTTATTCGAGTAATTGCTTATTCACAATGCATTACACATCCTAGAAGTAATAGCTCCATAAAAGCCGTTCATTTCCGCTTTTTGCCTAGGCGTGTGACTGGCTGGCTGCTGTTTCCGGTGGGCGTGGGTGTGTCTGGATGCTCATAGGTAGAGAGGGCTGCTTATGACTCGGGAGAGGCCTCACCTCCCTCCTCCTCCTTCCCTCTTACTTTCCCTTTCCCTTTCCCTTTCCCTGCGTTTCTCTTCTCCCTCTTTTACACTTAAAACAGCCACTACTATTCTTCTAACTTCTTGTACAAAGTATCCGTGAGCGTTTTGTATTTGTG